CTCTCTCTGTATCTCTCTCAATCTCCCCCTCTCTCTCGCTCCCGGCCTTTCATCCGTCTTGATCTGCGACACCCCACATGCCACGCCGAGCCGGCCCCCTCCTCCCCTGGGGAGACCGCACAGGCACAGCCTGGGAGAGCACCCCGGCACTCTTCCGCAGACAAATGGGTCTTCTTCCCCATCTCTCCCGTTCCCCGTTCCCTCCCCTTCCATATCAACCGTTCGCTGCGGCCGCGCTAACCAAAGCAGTGCGCGCGTTTAAACACTTCTCTATCTCCCTCAGTTCGTGGCGCACCCGAACGTCCAGCAGCTGCTCGCCTCCATCTGGTACGAGGGCCTGCCCGGCTTCCGGCGCAAGAACATGGTGCTGCAGGCGCTGGAGATCATCCGCATCGGCGCCATGTTCCCGCTCTTCTCCACGGTGTACGTGATCGCGCCGCACTCGGGCGTGGGCCAGACGCTGCGCAAGCCCTTCATCAAGTTCCTCTGCCACGCCGCTTCCTACTTTACCTTCCTTTGTGAGTGCAGAGCGTGCGCCTTGCGCCGAAATTAAATTAAATTTCTCGTCAACATACTTCTCCTGTATACAACTACTTGCACTCCACTCTCCGCGCCCGACTCAGCCGCCGTCAATAACGAGGTGTCGCCTTCGATTCCGTTTTCTTTTTTCCAGTTTTACTTATCCTAGCTTCCCAACGCATTGAATCTGTGATATCCGAATGGCTCTTCGGCGCCGACCCCCTCATCTCGGACGACAACCACGACGTGACGACCAAGCGGGGCTCGCCGCCCACCGTGGTCGAGTGTCTGATACTGGCCTGGGTGCTGGGTGAGTAGGATACGCACCTCTATGTTTTGAAAACAATTTTTTTTTAATGTAGTAAACCATTGGTTGATGTCCATTGTTTTGCATCAGGTCTGATATGGAGCGAAGTCAAACAGTTGTGGGACGTCGGGCTGGAAGAGTACGCCAACGACATGTGGAACGTGATAGACTTCGTCACCAACTCGCTGTACGTCGCGACGGTGGCGCTCCGCGTGGTGGCCTACTACCAGGTCCAGAAGGAGAAGGAGCTGTCGGGCGAGATGGTGGACCTGCCCCGCGAGCAGTGGGACACGTGGGACCCCATGCTCATCTCCGAAGGACTGTTTTCTGCGGCCAACATTTTCAGGTGGGTAAACCAAATGCGATAGCTCCGAGTGGCACAATCACTTCTTCCCCCCTCTAATAAATGCTGCGCACGTGCTACAACAAAATCACCCACGCCTCACACCGACTCTCTGTGTTGCAGCTCGCTCAAGCTGGTGTACATCTTCTCCGTGAACCCTTACCTGGGGCCGCTCCAAGTGTCGCTCAGCCGGATGGTGATGGACATCATGAAGTTCTTCTTCCTCTACGTGCTGGTGCTGTTCGCCTTCTCGTGCGGTGAGCGCAGAGTGCTTTTAACTTTAACGGCCTTCCTGCAGTCTCGCCCGCGCCGGCCTGGGGCCTGGGGCCTGAGGCCTGGCCGCCGGCCAACAACTCCGCCTCGTGTGGGAGTCGAACGCGCGCGCACCGCTTGATTGAAACACGAGGCCGCAGAGTGTGTGTGTGGGGTGACACCCCTAACATTTCCCCTTCAAGACGGAGGCAAACGTGATGTTTGATTTGTTTCGTCCCGTAGGTTTGAACCAGCTGCTGTGGTACTACGCCGACATGGAGAAGCAAATCTGCAATAAGAACCAACCGGCCCAGCAAACTGGTCTGGGCAACTCCACGCACCCGCCCGACCGCGACGCATGCGTCGTCTGGAGGAGGTTCGCCAAGTAAGTGCTCAATCCATCAATCATCAACCATACAGTCATTAACGATCCGATGCAATCAATCAATTCGTCACGTTCCAAACATCCAGCCTGTTCGAGACGATCCAAACGCTCTTCTGGGCCGTGTTCGGCCTGGTGGACCTGGACAACTTCGAGCTGGCGGGCATCAAGAGCTTCACGCGCTTCTGGGGCATGCTCATGTTCGGCACGTACTCCGTCATCAACATCGTGGTCCTGCTCAACCTGCTCATCGCCACCATGAACCACTCGTACCAGCTCATCTCGGTCAGTGGGAAGCCCGCCAGGACGGGGTGGGGGTTGAAGAACCGCAGTAAGCCATAGCGATATCCGTGTGTTCTCGTTGCCCACCAGGAACGCGCCGACACGGAGTGGAAGTTCGCCCGCAGCAAGCTGTGGATCTCCTACTTCGAGGAGGGCGGCACGGTGCCGCCCCCGTTCAACGTCATCCCCACGCCCAAGAGCATCTTCTACATCTGCCGCTGGCTCCACCGAAAGCTGTGCGGTCACTCGCGGGCCGCCAAGAAGGAACACATGCGCACCATCCGGGTGAGTGCCACGACTTGAATCTTTTAGGGAGGGACGCAGGAGGAGCCCGCCCAGAGGACAGGGAGTACACCCGGAGGACAGGAAGTCCACCCGGAGGATACCAGGAGTACGTGAGGTACATCCGGAGTGGAGTACGCAGAGTATACTTTTAATACATCTAGAGTACACTCGGAGTGCGTGAAGTACATCCGGAGTAGTACACCAGGAGTACCTACCTGAAGCACGCCTGGAGTGTCTGGAGCACACCCGGAGTACTGTCAGCCCGGGGCACGGGGAGCACACCACTTGTCGGTTTAGCGCACGGTCTGGTGCACCGCGCTACCGCGCACCGCCGCGTCAGCCCGCCACACCGCGCCACGCCAGCCCGCCGCGCACGGGCGTGCCGGGGGTTGCCTATCGAGGCCGCGTCAGGCGCTAAGCCGCTCAAGCCCCCGCGGCTCTACTCTGAGCTCGGCCCGGGGAGGGACGTGGGAGATGGGGAGGGGGGAGGGTGGTGATTGGGGTAGGAGAGGCGGTGGAGGCGGGCTCCGCGGCGCCCAGAGTCGAACTTTGTTGCTCGAAGCATAATTGCCTTAAAACATTGGTTACTCTTGTTTCGGACCTGCCTCGGCAGCGCAAGGTGAAGCAGGCAAGTGAGAGGGACTTCCGGTACCAGAGCATCATGCGCAACCTGGTGCGGCGGTACGTGACGGTCGAGCAGCGCAAGGCCGAGTCCCAGGGCGTGACGGAGGACGACGTCAACGAGATCAAGCAGGACATCTCCGCCTTCCGCTGCGAGCTCATCGAGATCCTCAAGAACTCGGGGATGAACACGCACACCTCGTCGTCGACGGGCGGAGGTCAGTGTCGGGTGTGGAGGCCACGAGGAGGTGGCGCCGCGTGCTGGTGAGCGACGTGTAGTGCATTTCGCGGCTGTTGCGTTGCAGGGTCCGGCGGCAAGAAGAACCGACAGAAGGAGAGACGGCTCATGAAGGGCTTCAACATCGCACCGCCGCCGTCCTCGTCCGGTGGCCCGAACCTCTCCCCCGTCGTCGAGATGCCCCTCACCTCGGACCAGTCCGACGAGCCCATCTGCGCCGGCGCGGACAACGGCGGCGGCGGCGGCGGCAGCGGCGGCGCGGGGGCCATCGGGGCGCTGGCGGGTCCAGAGCTCTTCGGCTCCACCATCTCGGGCGTGCTGGGCGTGGGCCGGCGGGGCTCCGGGCACGGCCAGCACGCCGCCGGCCCCGACGCCATGGGGCGGCTCGCGCCGAGGTGAGTGCGGCGAGAGTGGCCGGTAGGAATAGCGCCGACCGCCGAGAGCGCAAAAACGATGTCAACAGAACAATTTCGTTCTGACAACTATTTCTCACCAAAAGGAAGGCTATAAAGTAGGGGGCACTTCCCTAAAAAATAAATAAGTGTACTCACTCCAAAAAAAAATCAGGAAAGGATCAAGGAAAATTCAATTTGAAAATAAGAAAATAAATCATGAAAAACAGAAAAATTGGAGAACGCTTGAATTTATAGAGAATTACCCTTCGGCCTAGAGTTGGTGAGTGAGGCCAGTGGGTCACGCGCGTGCGGTCCTTGTTTAGGGGCAAATCGCGGCTGGCGCTGGGCGGCGCGCACAAGCGGCGCTGGGGGACGCTCATCGAGGCGGCCAAGTCGGGGCGCGTGGGCCGCCTCATCAGCCGGTCCCGCTCCGAGGACTCGGTGTGCAACGGGTCGCGGCAGCGCGGCCACCCGCAGCACCGCTCCAACTCGGAGGAGGCCACGGACACGGACTCGGCCGAGGGGCTGGGCCACGGCCACCCGCTGGCCAACGCGCTCGCCGCGCTCAAGCGCAAGCGGCACAAGTTCTCGGCCTCGCGCGGCAGCCACGCCGTGCAGACCACCTCGCACAACGAGGGCGACGACCTGGCCATGCAGGGCCTCGGTGGCTCGCTGCAGGGGCCCTCCACCTCGCAGCAGGCCGCGAGCGCCGCGTCCAAGAAGGTAGGCGAGGGGTACTTATGCACCCAAAACCACCAGTGTAGACTCAAAAATCGAAAGAAAAAAAAGAAAGTAATCATAAAAAGGACAATGAAAATATCAAATAAAAGATCAGTTTAAAAATCAGATAAAAATAATATCCATAAAAGTTTTGTGCGCTTGAACTTTTAGTGAAGTCCTTGTGGTCTTGCAGGCGCTGCAGCGCGCGTCCAGCGTGCCCGCGCGCACTCCGGAGGACGTGCCGGAGGCGCGCGCGCGGCCCCGCCCGCGCCAGCAGCAGCTGCAGGAGGCGGAGGCGCGGGTCATCGAGCACCTGCAGCAGCTGCACCACCACCACCACCACCTGCCACTCACACCGTCCACCACGGAGGAGTCGGGCAGCCGGGACACGCTGCTGCTGTCGGAGGCGGCCGGCGGCGCGGCAACCATCACGCCCCCGGGGGCGGGCCCGTCGGGGGCGGGTCCCTCGGGGGTGGCGGGGACCCCGGGGGCGGCGGGGGTGGGCAGTGCGGGCGCTGTCCAGGGGCAGGTGCCCAGCCCGGCGGAGCCCCCGAGCCCCAACGGGGAGCGCTGGTACAAGAACCGCAACGGCCTAGTGGCCACGCTGCCCAACCTGCCGCCGGGGATCCAGCCGGTCAGCGGCCACAACGTGTCCGCCGGCTGGCTGTGAGCTCGCGGGGGCGGCGCGGGGGTGGCGCGGGGGTGGCGCGGGGTGGTGGTGCCCCGGGACAAGCCCCGACGGACTTCCACACATCATACGCTGGCTGGCCTGGCTGCTCGTACTCGGGCAGGTGCTTACTGGACCTTGTCCCGCGCCGCCCCGCCCCGACCCCGCGGGAACCCCCCGGCTCCATCTCGCGTCTGTACACCGCCGGGGCGGAGCGGGACTTGTCCTAAAGTACCATATTACCTTGTCTAGGATAATATTTTTTATTATTATGAAGCAGAGCTCTTTACAAGCCACTGCTTTGACTTGTATCATAAAGGGCTGTTCTCGAGGAATGTAATCCTCGAATTTATTAGAGCGTTAAGGGGAATCGGCCTAGCGATGACTTCTGTTTAAGGCTATCAAGCACAATTATTAAGGACATTGATACTTTACAATACCAAATATATGAACTTGTTAACTGATATTATCAACATGAATTACAGTATTTTTATTTTATTGGAGTTATATAGATTTTGAGATATGCTCTAAATTTGTTCTCAGATTGTGAGGACAATGGCAGGGCAGAGTCTGGACTTAGTTAGAATTTTACTTCACCACCGTGACTGACATATTCTCCTAACTCTGCTCCGTATTTATAAGGTGCCCCAGAATTATTACCCGAACAGCAGCATCTGCATCTGTGACATGCAATATGATAAAGAATAATTTTTTCTAAAATTATTATTTCATGGACACTTTTTTGTTCACATTACCAATCTTAAAGGGATGTTACATGACAAATTCACAAGCAAAGTGAATTAAAGATAAGTAATCTAAATCTTACGCTGACCAATGAGAAAAAATAATATTCACTTTTCAACTGCATTTTTTATGTCATGTCAACAGCCTTCATCATATCACAAATCATTTAAGGTACTAGATGTACTCTGCTTCCTCAACATAAACTCATTCACATATTAAAATGTGTAAACATTTTACCTTTTGATTGAACAAGAAACAATATTTGTACAATAGATCAAGTTATAGAGCTCAGAACATCATCACAAATCATGACAACTTCATCAACTCTTGAGATCATTCAAATTTAGGTTGGCGTTTCTATTACTATTACCGTCCCATCATTGTATAAAATTTTTAAAAAGGTCTTACTTTAAGAATTAAATAACTAACACATTTCCCCATCTAAAATGGATATGGTCCAATATCATTATCAATAAAAAATATGTGAAGAATTTGATTTTGCCTATAAAGGTTTGAATATTTTTCAGTCTTATTTTCTAAAGGACCAGCAACCAGCATCTCTAGAAAAAATATTGAGAAGCTACAGAAAATGTATAACCTGCAGGTAAAATGTATCTCCTCAAATTGAACAAAATTTTCATTTAAAAATAGATTAAAAATAACAGGATATTATGTCTTGAGGAGAAAATCTTCACTTATAAAATTACTAATTTCAGAATAGACAGATGTTGAAATGTGACAAACTTGTCCTCCTAGCGTAAGATCAGACTAACTGCCAGTTACTTTGATTATGGGAACATAATGCCACTTTTTGATAACACAGGCACATTTTAGAGAGATCATGAACTGAAGTTAATGGCTGCCTTGAACTGTGGCTATGATCATGTTTCAGAGTACATACTTTTGGAATGGCGATAGAAGCATTTTTAAAGAGACAGAAGAGATTGACAATTAGTCTCAAACCGGAAGAATATTATGTATCTGCAGAGTGTCATCAGAATTACTGTACCGGGTGTAACTGTGAATGCGCAGCAGTGCTGCGGGTTTGCCTACCTAATTCACCCGTAAGGCGCCATGGCCCCTGAAGCCCTGGCGGGTATGCAATCCCGCAACACTGCTGCGCATTCAAAGTTACACCCGGTACACTGGTACATTTTTAATGATATTAAATTGAACAATTATTTACAGTATTTACAATCAAAAACCTACTGTACTGTGTGGAAAAACCGTCATCTAAATATGCAAATACATGTGGACTTCTTCATAAAATACAAGCATTCATAAATAAATTACAAGGCACTTGTTCAAAGATTCATAAGCACAGTATATTACCGTACGTACTATGTGAATAGATAAGACAGCTCATGTGATGATGTTTACCTTACTAAGGATTTTATTGTACATATGTACTATTTTTACTGCAATATATGTCTTGAGCGCAGACTACTTCAGTTTAAATGTGTAACCAGATACTACCAACTCATACATACATGAAGAGGACATAAATGTTTTCAAAACACTAAAAATACCGTATCAAACTTTGAAAATGTGGAACTTGTGGATAAATCACATTGATTCCAGAGAAAGAACATGAAAACTTGTTATGAAGAGGTGTTCCAATTGCTGAGAAGGCTTCTCCTTAGCTCCATAGCTGAAGTAACAGCACATTTTTCCTTTTGATAATAAACAGAACTGCGTAATGGGACTGATGCTCCTGAAAATAAATCAGAAAAGAAAAATTGTAGAAAGATGCATAGTCATGGAAGGCATTAGATTTGCACCAGTTAACAGTACCAAAATTATTAAAAGCAGATTATTTTAAATGTACCTGATTGGGAGGGCTCAAAACAAATCAAAGGTTTATTAACATCCAACAGTCGTCCCTCAGCTTTCTCACTTTTACACCTACGGAATTCAAAGAATACTATGAGTTTAACAGAATCATTATGATTCCTTAAAATATATAACAGGTGTGAGCAAATAATTAACACTTACTTGGCATTAGGATTGCCAAGGTTCCTAACAGATGACAATTTTTGAGACAATTCTCTAAATTCATTTTCAAGCGTTTTCAGTTTTGCAGTATTGTTAGCTTCCTGTTAAGATTATATACAAGATAAAATACACCCAGATTTCAACAATATAAAACTTCTGCATGAATATTGATGATACCAACCTGGGGGCCATCTTCAGCATGTAACCGAACATTCTGCTCATAAAACGCTTTTCTAGCTAGGGCAACTTCTACCTTTTGTTGTAAAATTTCTAACTCCGTCATTTTCATATCAATATTCACAGATTTAATTCCTTGATTACTGCTCTCCTTCCGCAACTACGAAAGTGTTCATGTACAGATCAAAATCATGTTCAAATTTCATGAGGGCAGTTCAAATAGAGAGAGAAAATATTATCAAACCTTCTGAATTTCTTCACTTAAAAGCTGTTGCTGCTGCTTAAGATGTAAGAGCTCGTCACTTGAAACAATATTATCAATGAAAGGCTTTGCCATTTGGCGTAGATTATAGTCTTCAAAATGCTGTTTTATGTCTTGTTTCTTTGCATTTAATCTACTGAATTGCTCATGCATTTCTTCGTTAAGACCCTCCCTATCAATACCAGACTGTTGAGCCTGGAATTAAATAGAAAATTATGTTTACTGGTAACTTTTCAGTTAACTGAATGAGGTGATTCATTCAAACCTAACCTTTTCAATCAGTTGATGATGGAGGCGATCCAGTTCTGCTGTTCGCTGCTTAACTTGAAGCTCCATGGCCTCCACTCTAGCTGTTGCCAGAGTTTCTTCCTCCTGAGCACGTAACTCTCGGCGAAATGCAGCTAGTTGTCGCCTTTTCTCAAGTAGTCTAGATTCTTCAGCCTTTAGTGCTGCGTTGGCAGCCTTCTCAGCATCTAAGACCAGACAAACAAATTTCAATAGATGTTTGAATCGTGAAATACAGCATTCCAGAAAAGCTAACAAGTGGCCAAGCAAAAGATAAAAATACCAAGAAGACGGGTCTCTTGGATCCGCGCTTTTCTCTCTCTTGCCAATATTTCCTCTCGAGCCAGTTTTTGAGAAATAACCAAGTGTTGTTCTTTAAGAATATTTTCTTCTTCTCGTCGAATGGCATCCCTTTGCTCCTTCTAAGACATTAACACAGAAGTCAAAACATGATTATTCGGACCTGTTTTCACACGTTCCCTGCGGAGCGACCAATATGTGGTCATATTTTGCTGTTTTTCAACCCCTAAGATGCACAACCACAAGGAACGTGTGAAAATCTGGCCCCAAATTGTTGGAATTAGTAGTGTTTAGTGATCTTTCCCTTACTTGGTAATTGACAAGGAATTTTGGAAATTCTGAGAAGACAGGATAATTTCCTTTAGGCAATGGAGAAAATGTCTTCAAATATTGTTTGGGGTGATACTGTTCTGGCGTTGTTTCCATTAACTCATAACTCTTTTTCAAGAAGTACCTCATGTCAATGGGATTTTGATTCCTAAAAAAGAACTGAACAGAAGTTTACATTAAATTCTTGAGATTTGGTTGTTTTGTTACGAAGTAAATGTTTACATAATGCAATTTCTATTTACTTCAAAGTCCTTCTTTTTGGAGCATGTTTTCAGAGAGGCCCGACAGCAGATATTATAGGCTACAACAGCAAACAATAGAAACTCTGGCGGGTTTGAGATAATGTTATCCCATAGCTGCATCCACTGAGCAGATGACAGTACCTGCAGCAAAACAAAACAAAAGTAATGCTATAATTGTTAATCCTTACATCTAAACGGAAATATGAGCAAATTAACAGTAATTCAGACCTCAGAGAATGCCGTTGAGAGAAGACTCCACGCATACTGACGTGTAGTTATCCCAGCATGAGAAAATATATCAACCAGGCCTGAATCATGTTCCACTAGAATGTTCTCAATCATACCAAGAATATTGATGGGTGGGAAGGTGAGATATTCAAACCAGTGCTGGCACCAGTTAACTACAAACATACCAATCAAGTTCAAATGAACACCGGAAATAACAAAAGGAGGTAATACACATCAATAAAGTGTTATAATCTCAGACTCTCTCACCAATAATTGTGGCTGCAACCTCAAAGCAAACGAATTTGTCGGAATGGAACACCTTTACAAAAGGGAAGAGAAAATGTGGAAGATATGGTAGTTCTCCAAATACAGGAGACCAATGAGCCAAACAGCTAACAACACTGGAAATAAAAAATAACAATAATTTGAATCTGAGAAAAACATGAAAACCTCTGTTAATACTGCTTTTTGTTAATTACTTTTGCAAACAACTCAATACAACTTTGTTTTGAATTGGGTTCTTTTCAGATAAAACTTGAGCAGATGGATGGAGTGGTTTCTCTGAAAGGCTTTTCCACGGCTCTTTGTTGCCAGGAAGCTGGAGGATGGATCGCCAAATGAGACATCGGTATTGATCTGGGTAGCTCAAGTATTCTTTCAAAATGGGTCTTAGGCGATTTACATCAAGAAGTGCTTCTATCTAGTGAAAGAGAAACATGATACAGACCCAACTTTAAAAATATAACACAATAAAAATGATGTAACTGAAAACTTATGTGCATTTTAAATATTTTAAAGACCTGTTGGTTCACTTCAGAAATTTTTTTTCTAACTTTTGTTTTTTTTTTCAATGTCACTTTCTTGGGTTGAAACTTCTGTTCTGGGTTAGCAGAAATTTCAATAGGTTTCTCTTCATCATCAGGGATACAGCTCTCCTGGTCAACACAATTCATTGTGCTTGTTAGGAACTGAGTACCACTAAATATTTTAGCTTCCCCGAATGATGTATTGCAGACAACATATTTTCCAGACAGACTGCAAGTAAAACTACCTGACAACATAAAGAAGAAAATATTGGTTTTTCTTCTAGTTAATGAAGAGGAGGTTTCGACTTAGAGTATGACTAAACAGTACCAGCACAACTTACTTATATTGTTTTCAGTCTTTGACTTTGTGACATTATTTCTAGCAACATCTACAAGCAGTATGGAGCCAGAGTCAGTCAAGGCCATAAGGATCTAAAAGCAAAATAAAGAAATGTTCAAAGGATTAAAAACAATGAGTAGTTAGAAACTGAATTACAAGGGTATAAACATGTGTGGGCATAGTACTCACTTGGTTTGCACCAGAGTCAAAGGCCTGAGGTAGGAATTCTAGGTGTTTCACTTCTGAGACGTAGTCTGGAAGCCTAAGAACTTCCTGGGCATCCCAGTCGTCAACTGCAAAGATGACTAACTGCTGGGAGACTCCCCCAAGAACCATGGCACGCCCATTCCTAAACAGAGTAATTGTTTTCCTTTTCTAGAACTAATTGTAGTTTTTTTCCCGGTATGGATACATTTGGTGAAAATTCAAAGATACCTGGTAAATGCTATGCTTTGTATGCTGTGTCCTTTCCATGAATCTGGAACTATTTGTTTAACACATTGAAACGATTGGAAGGCCCAAATATGGATAGCATCATCTTGGAAGCAGGCAAGGATGTTGTCAGATACAGGCATAAACACAGCCTAAAATAA